GTTTCTTTATTGAAGATAAATTTTCCATATTTCTGACGATCTCTCTCTCTGGATTCTAATTTCTATTAAATTGATCTGAGAATCTGTTCTTATTCCAGCACCGCACTGTTTTAACTATTACAGTTTTATAGAACCATATAAAATTGGGGAAATGAAGCATTCCATTTCTATTTTTTTCTAGGATTGCTCTCGCTATTTGGTGAGGAATTTTCTAGTAATAGTGTGGCATTTTTTAGTTATAATGCTGCTTCTCCTTTTACTCATTTGATCAGGTCCTGTCATCGTCAATTCAAACAAGATAAAAAATATATTTGACATGAGAAAGTACTTTTCAAAATATACCCAAATATATTTTTGATATGGGATTTCTTATAAAAAGTGTCAAAAATTATGTTAACAGAAGCTATTATGAATACTTGAAATTGTTTCATAATAGGAGTCGCAAGCCCAAGTGAATACATGAACTTTTTTTTTAGTACTGAATCAACATCCTAATTCAGTTTTACATTGATCTCCTCACTGGAAGTATCTCACCATAAATCAATTGTGACTCTTACTGTCCCCTTCTCTGGTCAGTCCTAGGTCAGGACTCATGAGATTGGTCACTGTCTGCACTTATTCTCTCACAAGGATTCAGCTCACATTAGTGACCAACATGTCAGTCCTTTTGATGTTCTTTATGTAGAGGACAGAAATGGACATCCAAGCTCCCCCAGGATGAACCAGTCATCAAGGCAACCAGAGGGACAATGTCTCCTTTCAGGTCACCCTACCTGACCTGAGGGAATGAGAATTCAAAGAGCATCCAGGAGAACAGGTGGTCCTGATGCGAACAGAGCTTGCGGAGAATCAGAAGGTGACTCAGGCACCTCCAGAACTTCAGGGTGAATGGAAGAGAGAATGTTGGCAGCTCCAGGATGTAGTGAGGTGTGGAGCAAGGGGTTGGCCTAGTCTGTGGGCTACACAGACTGCTGGTCCCTTAGAATTCACCATGGAGGACCTCACACGCAGAGACAGGGGAACTGGGTCAGGAGCTCGACTATGTCCTGCCCCCAAGGTTTCAGATGCTTTTGGATCTGGGCATGTGCTTCAATTCCCACTGAGAGAGTTGGAGGGGAGGGGAGTAAAGAAAGGATAAAGCATAACAACATACGTTCCCTTCAACAGACAGTGCTGAGATGAAAAAGGAGGATCAACTGAAGTTACTAGAAAGGCACTTTCTCTCTAATCATAGGGCTCTTCCCTTGGCGACAGGAGAATCTCCTGTAGAAACTTTCATCAAAGGCCAGTTACTTCCTCTGAAGGATGGTGTGGTCTGGGGAGAAGACACTCCCCTCCAATGAGCCCTGAGTGGTGACTATGGGGCCTTCCCGGGCACCTCATCCCTGAGCTGCTGAGAGGAGACTTGGGTCTACTGAGAGTGAAAACAAAAGGGGAACAAAACAAGAAAGCAAAGTCCAGACCTGTCCTCCAGCCTCTCAACAAACACACACAGACACACACACAGACATAAACACACACACACACACACACACACACACACACATACACAGAACAAAATGCAGCCTGGACTGTAGTACCTTCTCCACACAGCAGACAGCACAAGCTTCTTCCCTGATGTCTCCTCTGTTGCTGTGATTGTCTCAGGACTGGCAAGGAAGTTCACTCCACTGGACTAAACCCAAAATCGAAACCACTGTGGGGGGTGGAGCCCTTTAGGAATGGGGCAGGAAATGAGAGAAGATGCCAGTGTGTTTCCTACTGAGCTTGCCCTCAAGTTAGGGGACAGGAACTTGAAGACTCTCTTGAGCAGTAAGAGGGAGGATAAGTCCTAACCAGGAAAATGTTCTGTGTCCTCAGTCTGAGTCTATGCAGGAACCACAGCTCAGCTCCCAGACTCTGATGTCAGATCTCTGCACTTTTGCCACAAAGGCCCAGGGGAATCCAGGAGAATTCCTGGTCAACTTGTCTTTGCTCTTCTAGGTCCCTGATTGTTTTCTGCAGCCCAGGAGGATATGGGGAAGTGGGTGTACCCAGGACAGGGCTCTAGCCATCAGGCACAGGCTCACCCTAGCCCCTTCCAGTGTCTCTGCTCTGTCTCCTTCCTTCACACTGTCCCTCTGCAGGATTCAGTGCTCAGGACAGCACAGGAACCACTTATGGCCAGAGGGAGTGTTGTCAGCTGGGAGCCACGACTCTGTGCTATGGGGAAAAGGCTGTGGGTCCACTGTGGGGCCACTAGTAGTTTAGCTCCAGTGGGGGGCACACCCCGAAGTAATCTGAGTTGACTCTGATGGTGCTCTACAGCCAGACAGTGAATTGGCATCAGCCACATCTGAGGCCAGAGCCTTGAACTCTTTTGCTTAGGTCTTTGTTATTAGATTTGGAAAAGAGTCTTCATGGTGTTGCCCTAGTGCCTGAGTCAGAAAACACTCTCACCAACAGTGAATGCGGATTCCTCTGTCACTACAGCCAGCCAGCAATATCCTCCCTCCAACCTTTTCTGATATGTGGCACTCTCAGTAGTGGGAGAAGATATTTTATTGTTTTTTTGATTTGCATTTGATAAAAGGTGACAAAGAACACTTCTTTCTAAGTATACTTGTTAGGGCAGGACTCTGGATCTCCAACCTCAAGCAAGGACCACGCAGGAATGCAATCAGCAAGGAGGTAGTTTATTGAGCTGGCTAGCCAGGGTCAAGAAGTCAGGCAAGACCTCAAACTTCTTCAAAGGGGATCTTATATAGGCCTTCACTGGCCATTACAGCAGAGCCCGAGCATTTCATGGGCAGCTAGAAGGTATCTCCTAACTCAGACATTTGGTTATCTTCTATGTTTACCTGGCTCCCTTTAATTTACAGCTCCTGGTGCCTACATTCAGGTGCAGCCTGATAAGGGAAAAGTTACTAACAGAGGTATAGATAAGGAAGGGTCACAAATGGAGAGAGAAATTACATCCCAATAAAGAAAGGTCAACAAATGGAGACAGAATTTACATCCCAATTAAGAAGAGTCAACTAATGGTTTCACAGTTAAGGCTCTACTTGGAAGGGGGCAGGAAACAAAGAGTTACTAATTAGCAGAGTTTAGCTCTGGAATTTTCCTGGGGTCCCAAGGGACCTTACATGCTTATTCACCATGCATTTTCTTGAGGCTAATGACTATTAATCTTCTTCCCCATTTTGAGAGGGATCATTTGTGGTTGTTGTAGTTGAGCTTTGTAAGTTCTTTATCATCTGGTTCTGCACTTAGGGATTCCACCTGGTGGGCTCAGGGAATTATATGGAGTGCTGGATATCAAACTTGGGTTGTTGGACTAGAGTGATAGTAAAAGAAGGTTTTAAAAGACAACTTGAACAAGGAACTTTTTAGAAAAAAATGGGTTCCAAAATGAGGCCCTCAGGAACTGGTCCCCTCAGGCATACTCTTATCTGAAAATGTAAACAAACTAAAAATTAAACTAGTGAGTGAAAAGGTAAACTGAGGCCCAATCCCCTCCTTCTGAGTAGGTCGCCTCCAAATCTCTTGACCTCTGCGTAGCAAATAAGCCTTAAGTCCTACCTTCCGTACTGGAACAGAGAGATATGTGATTCCTGGAATGTCGCATCTCATCAGCTTATTGCCATTTGGTCCTGAGTGGTGTCATCTGGTCAGAGAAAACCTTACAGGACGTGATCTTGAAAACATACCTATTTAGTTTTTAAAATAGAGAAAAGAAAACTCTTTTGAAAACAAAGAGTATTTGTTTGGTGTATGCTTCCTAATAAAAACTTTCAACAATCTTGACAACAAGGACTATCATGAAAATGTAAAATTATTTCAGGATTGGTTCTGCTAGTTCAGTGTGCAAATATCAACTTTGTACTATTACCATTATTGAAGCACTGTCAAAACCGAGTTTTACTCTGGATCTTGTCTTTATGTGAAGCATCTCACTCGAAGTCAGTTGTGAGGTTTCCCTCACATTTCACTGAGCAGGACCCTCCAGGTTGGTCACTGTCTGCACTGACTCTCTCATTCAGGACTGCAGCTCAGATAATTCACCAACATGCCAATGGTCACAGGAGTCTCAACCCTTCTCATGCTTTTGCTGATATAATTGCAGCTTTCCTTATTCCCTCCCACTGGATTCCTATGGTACCAAACAAGCAGAGAGAACCCGAATCTCCTGAGATCCTATCATCCTGCTCACTGGCCTGTCAGGGTGTCTTGGAACTTCAAGATCTGAAATCATGGAGAGGAAAGGAGAGGAGACACGCTATGCAAAATATGCACTGTGATAACTATATCTCACTTTATTCCACTATTGTGCACACTCATTATCTTTAGTGTTACTGCTTGAATGTACATTATTTGAACACAGTGTTTATGCATTACAAATGTTTGAGATAATATTATAGATATGTGGAAATAGCCAGGAAGGAATAAGATCCAATTTCTTGGATTTACCAAGTACTTTCTATGCTGGTTTAACTAAAAGGAGACTTTCCTTTTTTCTTAATCATTTCCAGAAGTTCAGAGGAAAGAAAATATGAATAGACCTCAAAAAAAGGTCTGAGAGCATGAGAGAAGGAGACCTTTGGGAAGGTGTAGATGTGGGAACCAGTAGTAGCATAGTAGAAGGATATGATGCCAGCGTCACTGTCTAAAACAATCACTAAAACTTCAGGCTCTTTCCTCAGAGGAATGAAGGTTGGTGGTGAAGTAAGGGCCGAACACCTCTTGTCCTTTCTCTGTCTGATGGCCCAGAATCCAGACTGAGGCTTTTATACTATGTTAATGTCCCTTGGCACATTTTCCAGACAAACACCTATAGCCCCCTCTGCTCCTACTCCCATCTCCACCTCAAAGTAATGTCTTCCTGAGGTGAAGCGCTCATGGCCCAGCATGCAGATTATGTCATTACATCTTCCACAAGTTTGAGATTCTTTCTATTAAGTGTTTTGGGAAAATTGTACTTCTCTATTTATCAAAGTGAATTAATAATTTTTTAGTCTTTATTTTATTTTATTTATATATATATACATTTTTATTTTTTATTCGTGAATCACCATGAGGTACAGTTACAAACCAACAAACTTACATACTTGCGTTTCAGTTATACAATGATCGAGTTCTCATCCCTCCACTAGTGCCCATTCTCCAACACCAATGGTCCCAGCATCCCTCCCATCACTCCCATCCCGTCCCCTCCAACCCACCCCACCTCTGTGGCATGGCAGGGTATTCCCTTTTGTTCTCTCTCTCTCTCTCTCTCTCTCTCTCTCTCTCTCTCTCTCTCTCTCTCTCTCTTATGGGTGTTGCGGTTTGCAATAGAGGTATTAAGTGGCCATTAAGTCTACTTTCAGCACATATCTCCCACCCTGAGAGGGCCCTCCCAGCACCCTTTACTTGGTGGTCTCTTCTCTATCTGAGCTGCCTTTTCCACCAGGATGTGAGGCCAGCTACTAAGCTGTGGAGTAATCCTAATAATTATCTTTGCTATTCTTGGGTGTTAGTCTCCTAATCTGTTACTTCATATTCCACAAATGTGTCCAATCTTTCTATGTCTGGCCCTCTCTTTCTGACTCATTTCACTTAACATGATACTTTCCATGTTGATCCACTATATGCAAATTTCATGACTTTATCTTTTCTAAGAGCTGCATACTCTTCCATTGTGTAGATGTACCAAAGTTTCTTTAACCAGTCATCTGCTTATAGGCACTCAAGTTTTCTCCAGATTCTGGCTATTGCAAACAGTGGTGCAATAAACATATAAGTGCAGATGTCATTTCTTCTATACTTTTTGCATCTCCAGAATATATTCCCAGAAGTGGTATTGCTGAATCAAATGGGAGATCAATTTCAATTATTTGAGAAGTGTCCAAAACTGTTTTCCAAAAGGGCTGAACCAGTCGGCATTCTCACCAGCTGTGAAGGAGAATCCCTTTCTCCCCATGTCCGCTCCAACAATGATTGCTTTTGTTTCTTGGATGTGGGCCTGTCCCTGTGGTGTGAGATGATATCTCATTGTCATTTTTATATGCATCTCCCTGATGATTAGTAATGAAGAGCATTTTTTCATGTGTCTTTTGGCCATTCAGATTTCTTCTTTGAGAAAATTTCTGTTCATTTCATCACCCCATTTTCTGATGGGGTTGGATGCTTTCTTTTTGTAGAATTCAATCTGTGCTTTGTATTTCCTTGATATCAACCCTTATCTGATGAGTGAATATCCTTTCCCTTTCTGTATACTGTCTCTCTCTTCTTGTAAACACTCTATCTTTTGAGGTACAGAAGCATTTCAGTTCAAGATAGTCCCATTTGTTTATCTCTGTTTCCACTTGCTTGGTGATTGGCTTGTCATCTTTGACGATACCTTTAGCTTTAATATCGCTGAGGGTTTTGCCAACCTTGTCTTCAGTGTACCTGATGGAATCTTGTCTGATGTTGTGGTCTTTAATCCATTTTTATCTGACTTTTGTGTACGGTGTTATATAGAGTTTTAGCCCAGTTTTTTGCATGTAGCTGTCCAGTTTTGCCAGCACCATTTGTTAAAGAGGTTTTCCATGTTCCATTTCACATTTCTTGCTCCATTATCAAAGATTATATGATCATATATTTGAGGGTGTGTGTAAGGATATTCAACCCTGTTTCATTGGTCTGCGACTCTGACTTTGTTCAAGTACCATGTTGTTTTAATTATTACCACTTTGTAGTAGATTTTGAGGTTGGTGAAGGTGATACCTCCCATCTTCTTTTTCCCAAGAATTGCTTTAGTTATTCATGGGGATTTGTTGTTCCATATGAACTTCAGGAGTGTTACATCCATTTATTTGAAGAATTTCATGGGTATCCTTATAGGGATCTCATTGAATCTACATAATGCTTTGGGGCCTACTGCCATTTTGGCAATGTTAATTCTTCCCAATCTATGAGCAGGGGATATGTTTCCATTTTCTTGTTTCCTCTTTTATTTCATGAAGTAGCATTTTGTAGTTTTCTTTGTACAGGTCCTTTACATTTTTAGTTAAGCAGATCTCGAGTTACTTGATTTTCTGAGGCATAATTGTAAACGAAATTGCTTTTTTCATATCACATTCATCTCTCTCTCATTGTTTGCATATAAGAAAGCCATGAACTTTTGTATATTGATTTTATAGCCTGTGACTTTACTATGAAACTCTGTTGTTTCTAGGAGTTTCTAGGTAGAGGCTTTAAGGGTCATAATGTCATATCATCTGCGAATAGTGAGCGCTTGATTTCTTCCTTTTCTATCTGATACCCTTAATATATTTTTATTGCCTAATCGCTATTGCTAGTACTTCTAGTACTATATTTAACAGAGGTGGTGAGAGTGGGCATCCTTGTCTTGTCCCTGATCTTAGAGGGAAGTCTCTTCGTTTTTCCCCATTGAGGATAATACTTGTGGTATGTTTATGGTAGATGGCTGTGACTATATTGAGGAAAGAACCTTCACAACCCATTTTGGTGAGAGATTTCATCATAAACTGGGCTGAATCTTGTCAAATGCTTTTTCTACATCTATTGATATGATCAAATGGTTTTATCTTTTCTTTTCTTGATATGATGTATTATGTTGATTGATTTCCGAATATTAAACCATCTTTGCATCCCTGGGGTGAATTCCACTTGGTCATGTTTTACGAACTGTTTGATGAGTTGTTGGATTCTATTTGCTAATATTTTGTTAAGGATCTTTGCATCCGTGTTCATCAGGAATATCTTTCTGTAGTTTTCTCTTTTTGTGGTGTCTTTGTTTCTTTTGGTTTCTTTTGGTATTAAGGATATATGTGCCTCTTAGAAACTGTATCAAAGAGTTTCTGTTTCTTCAATTTCCTGGAAAAGCTTGAGAAGAACTTGCAATAGGTCCTTTTTAAATGTTTGTAAAAATTTGCTAGTGAATCCAACTGGACCTGGGCTTTTGTTTTGGGGAATACTTTTTATTACAGTTTCAATTTTTTTGCTATTTATAGATATATTCAGGTATTCCTGAATATATCTTCTTGGTTCAAATTTGAGAGATTATAGGAATCCAGGAATTTATCCAATTTCTTCTAGGTTCTCTTGTTTCCTGGCACACAGACTTTCAAAGTAGACTCTGATGATCTTTTGCATTTTTTTGCTTTCTGTTGTGATGTCCCCACTTTCATTTCTGATTCGGCTTATTAGGGTTCTCTCTCTCTCTCTTTCTTTGTGAGTCTTGCTAGTGGTTTATCAATCTTGTTAATTTTCTCAAAGAACCAGCTCTTGGTTTCATTGATCTTTCGGATTTTTTTTTTTTTTTTGGGTTTCCGTGTCATTAATTTCCGCTATTGTTCTTTCTTTCCTTCTGCCTTGTTTGGGCTCCTTTTGCTGGTTCTTTCCTAAGATCTTGAGCTGTGAAGTTATGTTATTTATGTGGGCCCTTTCTTTCTTCCTGATGAATGCTTGCAGATCTATAAATTTTCCCCTTATCACAGCTTTAGCTGCGTCCTGAAGGTTCGGGTAGCTCGTGTCTTCATTCTCATTGGTTTCCAGATATTTTTTCATTTCTTCCTTGACTTCCTTCCTGACCCACTCGTTGTTCAACATTGAGTTGTTTAACTTCCAGGTGTTTGATTTGGTTCTCTGCATGTGTCTGTGAATAACTTCTATCTTCAGTGCGTTGTGGTCTGGGACAGGTTGCAGACTGGGTGTGGTGCTGGAGGATGTCGCAGGGGCGGACAGGATCACCAATGAATATCTTTTGATTAATAGTATCTGGATCTGAAGACACATTGACTGCAAAAAAAGAGAAAAAAAGACAAAAGACTCAATTTGATTTTTTAATTTTTTTTTTGAGCAGAGGCCACACAAGGCAGAGCCAGGGCTTACTACTGTGCTTAGGAAGAATTGCTGGCAGTGTACTCTTTGGGATGCTTTGGATTTGGTGGTGTGCCAGGCAAGCACTTTATCATTGTACTATGGTCTAGCTTCAAAAGAGTTACTCTGTATGTTTGGTTTTTGTTTGGAGGCCATGTTCAGCAGTACTGAGGCTTAGTCCTGGCTCTACACTTAGGGGTCACTCAAGGTGGGATTTGGGAACCAAATTATGGGTGTTCTATCCCTGTCTCTTCTCCACCAGACTTGCTTTTTCTTCTTTTTCTTTTTATTTGTTTATTTTTGCTTTTTTGGGTCATGTCCGATGACACTTAGGAGTTATTACTGGTTCTGCACTCAGGAAAGACTCCTGGTTGTGCTTAGGGGTCAGATGGGATTCCTAAGGTCAAAACTGGGTTGGCCACGTGCAAGGCAAATAGTCTACACAGTATGGCCCACACACTTGCTTCTTAAAGGAAAAAAACCTTTTTCTTTATTCATTGCAGTTTATTGAGCTAAGCATAACAGCTTTTGGCATTCAGTGCTTAACTCCAAACCCACCACCACTGTCAGTGTTCTTCCTAACATGTGTTAATATTTAGAGTATTTTATAAAATAAAGCTAACCTATATTCAAACCAAAGTTCTGTTCTTATTGTCTAAGAGTCATGTTGAGTTTCAGTTTTCAAAATCTGTGTAATCTCTATGTGAGTCACTAGAAACTGTTGAGGAAGACTGAGTGAACTAAATAATTGTTATTAAAATGTCTCATTAATGGGAAGTATCTGAGAATTTCTAGTAATAATATAACCATCATCCTTATCTCTAGTTTAAAAAACCTAGGAATAGAACCAATCAGAATTTACATGGGTTCTGTCATTTCTAAGACCCATTTTTCTCTTGAGAAATCGTGTAACATTGAAACAGAAATAAGACAATTCCATCTCTAACTAAAAACTACAAATTCTATATTAGAAAAGTTAAAAAAGAGAACTAAATTCATAGATTGTGATTAAAGACCTAGAATTCTCCCAGGTCACAAAATTATTGAGCTCCATGGGTATTAGAGCTTACTGTAATTTCTTAAGTTAGATAAAAGGAATTTATAGAAATTATCAAAATTTAATAAACCTAGGGTCAATATACATGAAAGCTATAAAATCATCCTTGAATAAAATAGTAAAATATATGATAAATTTAAGTGTGACTTTGACTGTAAAATCAAAAATTTAAAGTTAAATGTATCAATAGAATATTTTCTATTATGTTTTTTGGGGGCCATACCCGGCAATGCTCAGGAGTGACTCCTGGCTCTAACTCAGCATTACTTCTGATGGTACTCAAAGGACCAGGTGATCGAACCAAGGATTGCCGGGTACAAGACAAACATCAAAGCAGGTGTATTATGGCTCTGAGCACAAGGATGTTAACCACTCTTGTAACCACTCAAAAAAGAGTCAACCACTCACTGGGTTACCAGGCTAAGCACAGGGTGTTGGACTTTTTTTCCAGGTAACTTAAATCCGCTATGCAAAATACTTCTTGTGCTGGATGTTCTCAGTGTTCCTCAAATCCCTGTTTTTCTTTACCCACTTTTCCCACTTGGTTCTCTCCCTGAAAGACTGACCGCTGTGGACGCATCACCAGTGCTCTCTTCCCTATCTCTGCTTATTTCAGCTAACAGGAAGCAGAGGAGAAGGCCCTGGGGCACAAAGCAACTGAGTAGCAGTGTGAAGGACACATGGCCCTCCCATGCTGACTGGCAGGCTCTGCATTCCTCTCCCCTGTCACACTCTCCCACCCGTACAGCATCCTCTACCTGCCACTTGAGGCCCAGGACAATGATGGTTGTCTACCCGCTCCTGCCTTGGGTGCAGGACTGACTACGCCTTGTTCTCTATCCTACTTCTCATCTTTATAAATAATCCCTTCATTGTAAAGATTCTCTCCAACCAATTCTTATCATAAGTCTGACTCAGAAATAAGTTGGGTTTCAGTTGCTATTACTTAAACTATTGTGAAAAATCCAAAGTGTCAATGTGAAGAAAGTTTAAAAAAAAGTATTAAATAGAGCCAGAAAGATACAATAGTGATTAAGATGCTTGCCTCAAACTGGACTGTCCCAGGTTAGATTTCCTGTATCACATATAGTTCACTGAGCACTGCCAGAAGTGATCATTGAATATAAAGCCAAGGAAAAGCAAAAGGCAAAGAAAGTCAGGTGTGACTTCAGAATTTATTTTTTAAAAACTCAAATAAATACATATAATTTTTTTAAAAAAAACAATACAAATTGTATACCATATATACTTCTTTTTTGATGCTAATACAAGGTTTTTAAAGACAAATCATTGAGAGAGTAATTCAAACCTTTTAAATATTAGAAATAGAAAGCTTTTTCAAACATATTATGAACATCCGTAAAATTGAATAACACTCATACATGCAAAAATGCCACCTGCTAAGACAGAATTTTGGGGGAGGGACTGCCAAACAGGTGCAGGGGCCGAGTCATTCCAGGCCACCTGGGCCAGTTGATCAGTACAAGGCCCTAGGGTACCATGAATAGGAGCTTCAGTGATGGGACTACCTCTATATTCTGAACATGAAGCATGCACTCGGCCCATTGAGCTTTCTCTCTGATGCTTGGTTTGATCTTAGAGAAAAGCATTTAAAAAAAACTTTGTCTTTCCTTGAATATTGGGTTTTATAGGAGATTACAGAAAGATAGAAAATAATTATTAAAGAGAATTATAGAAAAAGAGAGCTCAGCTTTGGTATTAGTAAAATGTGTTACTAGGTCAAGGTCCTTACATCACTTGCACTCCATTGCATAATAATCACCTACCTTTACTGCATTACACTGAGAGTTAAATAAAATATTAACAAGGGATTCTTAAATCAACATACCTTGGTGGCGCTTAAAAATTTTTCTCACACTTAAGTGAAGCTCAGAGACACTGCGCACAGTATGCAGTTCCAAAGAAACATCCTCTGGTGTTTCTAGATTGATAGCTGAGACCCTAGAATAACAGCAAAAAGAGGTTTCTTCAGTGGCTCCTTCCATCCATGTGTCTATGTCCATGCCCCTCCATGGCCCACACTGTTTCCATGGACACTCACCTGCTCAGGGTGTCTTTTATACCCTGTAGAGAAAACATGAAAAAAGGTGAGTGCAGGAACATCTGACCTTCATAAAGCATAGTATATGCAGGGAAGTTCTCTATAAACACTCCTTCCAGGAAAGAAAGGAACGTAACCCCATGGGTGGGAATGGAGCCAAGGCCTCACACATACAGGGTAAATTCATTCGTGTTGAGGCACACCACTGAACCCCTAACCATAGACATTGATGGATTTCTAATAAGATGATTCCATCCTGAGCCCCTTGGGGATGCACATGACTACTTGTTTATCAACCTCTCTGATTTCCTCACTGATATTGTGCTGTCTGAAAACACACCAACCTATGGCTATTGGGAAAGTGCTCAGAAGGATGCCCAGGGTACCACTTCCTTTCAATGATGTGATTTCCTTAGAGTGAGTTCATATTGGACACTGCTTACATAAAGTCCTGAGTCCATCCAGAGTCCCAGTGACTGAAATGCTTAGCTACTGATAACAGGCACCACATGATGAAGGAAGCTGAGTTTTTGTCAGGGCCAGGGGAATAAAACAGTGAGTATGGAGATGTGGTTAAGGCAGCTCAGTTGCCTGTCTGAGATGACTACAAAGACCATACTATACCCCTGAGAACCCCACTCTCTCCATATCTCCACCCCCAGTCTCCTACCCCCCTACCCCCCCCCCCCCCACACACACACATAGTGCATCTGATGCAGAGATTCTGATACAGAGCACATTTGGTGCAAGAAATAAGGAAGTATGGTTTATGGTTCTGATGTGCACTAGTGCCTACACTGAAGGACTGAGAGCAGGGGCATGGTGAGTCACTCAAACTATGAAGCTCAAGGGACAGTGCTGCTGAGTACGGCAAAGTCTTGGTAGTGACTGGTTGCAGCACAAACTTAGCCCCAGAGGTTCTCTGTGGTAATGGTGGATATAATCGAGCCTTATATTTGCTACCGTAAATGCACAAAACTAGAACTCTCACAGCTCAGGAGACACAATAAAGAAGAGGAAGAAGTAAATCCAAATTAATGGGTAAACATCTAAAAAGAAGTAAATGCAAATTAATGGGTGAACATCTAAAAAGTTCCCAAGCAACCAAGAGAATTTTTGCTCATTTTCTGAGTTGAGAACTTCAAAGTAAAAATCATAAGGTTGAATGAATTAAGGAAAGCAATAGAAAAGGTAATCAACAAAGCAAAACAAAGTATTAGTCAGGGAGTATCTGAACTTAAATAAATTTAAAACTTCTTTGGAGGTTCCAGCAACTGGGTGACAGATGTCAAAGAACAAATCAAATAAGAAAATAAGATTTAGAAAGCTATCAATTAAGTAGAAGAAAAAAATATGAAAGGTATATGAGAGCATTATGGGCTAATTATAAGAGGAACAGCAATCAAATTCAAGGAGGCCTTGATGAAGCTGGAGTGATGGTAGAGTGGGTAGGATGTTTGCCTTGCACATCACCTACACTGGTTTGATCCCTGGCACCCCAGGAGTGATCCCTGAGAACACAGACAGAAGCAAGGATTGAGTGCCAATTGTGGCCCCAAAACAAACAACAAAAACAAAAAAGTAGTCGCTGAAGAAAAGGAAAGTGAGAATGGGGAACAAGTGTTTCAAAAAATTATAGCTATCTCTTGCTCATCAAGGCCATGTTCTCCGTTGAACACTTTGAACACATATCTCACTTGTCTCTGTATATTCTTTGCTTCTATGTTCTTTCTTGAACAGATGTATCCTCTTTCTGTGCTCTCATATCTTTCCAGTATGTCACTGTTCTCCCATTGTTCGTCGATTTGCTCGAGCGGGCCCAGTAACGTCTCCATTGGAGACTTTGTTGTTACTGTGTTTGGCATATCGAATACATCACGGGTGGCTTGCCAGGCTCTGCCGTGGGGGCGAGACACTCTCGGTAGGTTGCCGGGCTCTCCAAGAGGGGCGGAGGAATCGAACTCGGGTCGGCCATGTTGGCTGTGTGCAAGGCAAATGCCCTACCCACTGTGCTATCGCTCCTGTAAGTTTGAATAAAAACTACCTTGCATCACTGAAAAAATAGAAAAAGAAATGAAATTGTGGCTGATAACTACCCCATTCTGAGTACTGACTCCCACATCCAGATCCAATATATTAATAGTTCTAATAGAACTAAGGTGTTCTAAATAAAAGTAACCCAGATCAAAGAACTCTAAGGTAAGGTAAGGTAAAGGTAAAGGCCCTCCCGTTGATCGTCGATTTTGCTCGAGCGGGCCCAGTAACGTCTCCATTGGAGACTTTGTTGTTACTGTGTCTGGCATATCAGATACTCTCGGTAGCTTGCCGGGCTCTCCGAGAGGGGCGGAGGAATCGAACTCGGGTCGGCCATGTTGGCCGCGTGTAAGGTGAACGCCCTACCCGCTGTGCTAAGACATGCTGTAATTAAAATGATAAAAGCAAAACATAGAAATAGGATTGCAAGAGCACCAAGATACAAATGAAACTTGTATACAAAGAACCACCAAAAGATTCAAATGAAAACTCTTGATTAGTATTGTTTGACACAAGGAACAATTTGAATGAAACAAACATCCCAATAAGAATACTCTATCATTTGTCATCATTTAAACTTGAAAGCATTAAAGAAAACAAAACTAAAACTAAAGAAATTCATTACCATTTAACCAATTTATTAAAACCACTACAGGGTCTTATTTAAAAAACAAAGAGATCCTACTCGGAAACAGTAGATAATGAAAATATAAAATGGGGGAAAGCAGAGAAACAATGGCATCTTTTATAAATACACAGTTGCCTTGATATGAAAAGAGTACATAGAATCACAATATCATAGAAGACCACCAAAAATAAGAATTGAGCTCTCATAAAATCTAGAGTTTCCTGTTCTGAGGATCATTTCAAGACCACAACTACATAAATTTACATTAATTTTCAAAGGTATTTGCCTTCTCTGTGTTTATTATAGTACTATTTACATTGGCCAAGAATTAGAATTATTCCAAATACCCCAAGAACACATCGTGGATAAAGAAATTTTGGTACACATACAATGAGATACTACTCAAAATAAGAAAATTGAAATTCAACAGTTCATTCATCTCAGTAGAACTACAGGGTGTCGGGCTGCACACAGTGAGTTAAAAGGAGGCGTCTGAACTGAGGAAGTAGGCCTCGTGAATCTTCCATATTTCTTACCCTCTGTTCTCAGTAGCATGGGAATAAGACATCTCTGTTTCCTACAAGTGCTCAGACTCACCTGCAGCAAAGTCTGCGCTGAGTCCTGACATTTCTTGTCCAGTTCCAGGATGTTGTTCCTGAGTTCCTCTACTTTGTTGTCCAAATGGGCTACATTGTTCTTCAGACTGATGAGCTTCTGTTCTTTTTCTTTCTCTAGACTATGCATATAATATTCCTCTGCCAGGTGCATGAGTCTGTGAAGTTGTTTAAATTCAGAATTGATTCTTTCTTTCCCATGCTTTATTTTCTCCTATAAGGAAAAAAAGTGCTCAGAAAGTGAGTACACCCAAATGTTCATTAATGGATAGATTCATATCCAATATGAGTCACACACAGAAGCAGCTGAAACTTATTCAGTGGAAATAAATAAGGAATATTTGATGCATAGTGCAACATGGATCAATCAGCAAGACAGTGAGCAAAACAAGTAACTCAGAAGCAGAAAGCCAATATTATAAAAATCTGCTTTTATGAAATAAGTCATATTCATAGAGACAGTGAATACTAGAAAACAGGAGGAAGAAAAATTAGGAATAGGAAGAGAGGTTTAGTTTGGATGATAAACAAGTTTTGCAGGTGGATAAAGGCAATGGATGCACAAGCATATGTACAAACACTGTTACAGAGCTGTCCACTCTAAAGGGTAATATGGTGATTTTATGTTATGCTTAGACACATGCATGCAGACACTCATACACACACAAATTTCCTCAGTTAGGGTGATGTAGCCTGAAGAGTTATCCATGTTTCCTGCACTAGTTATGCCTGAGAAGAAGAAATTCACAGGTAGATGAGGTCATCAGAATTAGATCTAATTGTCTGGTAAAATTTCTTCTGTACACCAAGAAGCTGGTATAGGTAGTATGAATAAAGTGCAGAATAGAGCTTGGCCAAAGTAAATGAAATATGAGTTATAAAAATAAATATGAATTTTTATTTTGAAATAAACATGTGTTCCTGTGTTTCAGATAAACTTTTGGTTCAAGGAACCCCTGAAGTTTCTTCTTGAACCTTATTGAAGTTTCCAGCTGAGACATCACAACTGGAGTAAGGATGACCACCCTGGCGAGTTCATGAGTCTCACCAGGGAGAGGCCCAGTTGGCAGATTCTAATCATAAATACTAGAAATATCAACCCTGGATTCAACTCACCACCTTAATGTGTGAAAATTTCTAAAACAAAATGATCTATAGGACACAGATTTTATCTGGTAGGGGTGGGGACTAAACTTTAATATCCATTTTAACTTTCCATTTCAGAAAGTGTTACAATGTTTATGAAATTAATAAATGAGTAAAAAATTTTTAAACACATAAAATAAAAGTTTATTCAATTTATTTTGATACAATTCAAAATATATCATTATACATTTGTAATGCACTAGTTTTTTATGTGTGGTCCTCACAATAAAAATTTTGGTATGTTTTCTTTTCTCTAAAAATTACCTCCTCCTTAATAGTTATCCCCAGTTTCTCTCAGCTTCATCCGTTAACCAGCAGCTCCTGTAAGGGTTGGTATATTAGGGAAATACCAATCTATATTCTTTAAATTTGTATTTCCCTATTCTTAAATTTTTATGTAGCTAGAATAAAATGAAATGCGATCTTTTGTTAGGATAGTATTTTCCTATCCTAGGATATGAAAATACTTAGGATAATATTTTTTTTCTTTTTTTATTAGTGAAACACCATGAGGTACAGTTATAGACTTACAAATTTTGTGCTTGGGTTTCAGTTATACAATGATCAAGTACCCATCCCTCCACCAGTGCCCATCATCCACCACCACGGGTCCCAGCATTCCCCCCACCCCCCATCCCCCCCCCCCGTCCCACCCTGCCTCAGTGGCAGGGTATTCCCCCTTGTTCTCTCTCTCTTCTTTTGGGTACTGTGTTTTGCAAGAGAGGCATTGAGTGGCAATCATCTTTGGTCTATAGACTACTTTTAGCATGCTTCTCCCACCCTGGGAGGATTCTCACAACACCCTTTATTTGGTGCTTTCTTCTCTATCTGAGCTTCCTTTTCACCTAGCACGTGTGGCTGGCCTTCAAGTCATGGAGCAAAATTCCTGGTACTAATCTCAGCCATTCCTGGGTGTTAGTCTCCCTTTTTGTTGCTTTATGTTCCCTAGATGAATGCAATCTTTCTGTGTCTATCCCACTCTTTCTGACCCATTTCGCTTAACATGATACTTTCCATGTAGTACCACTTGTATGTAAATTTCATAACTTAATCTTTTCTAATAGCTACATAGTACTCCATTGTGTAAATGTACCAAAGTTTCTTTAACCAGTCATCTGCTCTTGGGCAAAAACGAGTAAAATTTTTATTTTTATGTGGGAAATAGGCTTAGCTTCAAATCATGAGTTCGTAAAAGGTGTTTATTTATTTACTTTTGATTGTGATGATCTTCCCACCAATCAAGATCCTAGATATGAAAGCAAAGGGCTGTCTTTTGAGAGATCATATTTGAGATTTGCACATAAAGAATGAGGACTGAGGTTTAAGACACCATGAAAAAGCCAAAATGACTCACTGGTCAGTGCAATGATATTCCAGACTAATGTACTATATCAATATATTTGTAAGCAAATCTCTTTCCATTCATAGGGAGTCTGGTTATTTACTGAACCAGAGACCCATACACTGTAGTTGTAGTTGTCTTTTGTATGTTCTTATGGTAGTTCTGATTCTCCACATTAACAGCCTCATTAAACTGAGTTCATTGCATCTCATCAGAATGAATCTCTTTCTAAGTGTCCACAAACAGTGGGTCTCTGAAGCTGGAAAGCTTGAGTGTTAGATGCTGCCCTGTGGTAAATGCATCAAAATGATGCAGTTGAGGCTTCAAAACAGGTAGGTATATTCAAAGTTTGAGAATTTGAATCCTGTCAAGGATCTTTCAAGTAGACTACAATATTTCTACAATATTTCTACTTCGTAAACTCAGATATTGGGAATTCTAAATAATTACTATCACAAGGTTGAAGAATTTGAAGCAAAAATTTAATAGATACATATAACCAAAGGAGTAAAGGGGAGTGATGCTTTCTACATTACTTTTAACAATCTGGACCATTTATTGAATAATGTACTTTTATAGTGCTTTCACCAAGCACAACCTACTCTTAGACAAGATGATGGCATGTAGTTTGACCACAAGAAGCTTCAAACTCTCACCTCCCAACTAGTTATTTTCCAAGTTGTATCTAGCTTCAGCTTCATATATTTGGATTCTGTGCTTTTCAGTTTTGTGACTGCTCTCTGGAGCTTTTCCTGTGGGAAAAAATGGGTGTTAGTTTATTCAGTTGGAAAAGTCTTCACAGCATATACCATAAATCATAGGCTTTCAGATAATTAGAATAACATTGAGTATTTGTTGAGCCTTTAGATGCTGAGAGAAAGCATGTGGACAATTATGAGTCCAATAACACAGTTGATCTCCGTGGCAAACTGCAAAGCTAGTAAGATGTTTACCATTGTTCCTGTTATAGAAATCAATTCTTTGCATGGGATTAAGTAAATTGTCCAAGGGAACAACATATTCTTCAATCCCATATTAGACTAAGGAAAGAGGCAGCAGGACAATGCCCACTTCTTTCTCCCACCACAGTCAAAGCAATCATCATATGTGCCTTTGAAAATATGTTAATCTAAATCTCTCACCAGACTTCATTCACAGGCTTTTATTTCTAAATAGTTAACAACTCCTCTACATCTTTAACTATGACCCCACCCTATACATGTGGAAGTTATGTGAACTTCAGAAACTGATGGCTCTAATTTATATTGAAACAGAATAATCTTCTCATGTCAAAATTGGTCCTTATTAACCAATAAAAATCATTCCATTCCCAGTCCTCCTCTGAGGTATGATTCATCCTCTCAACCGTGATCATGGTTTAAGGCCTAAATTTTACTCCTGTGTCTTCAATTATCTTTCTTTCTACACACCCTCTGGCCTAGGCATGGTGCCAAGCAAGCCTTGTTTTCTGTGTCCTTGTCATCAGTCCTGAGTATAGGACGCTCCGACCTCTAATGACTTTTCTACCACATGAAGGATACAGGCAGACTTCAATTATTTGTTTGCATACCTCATCATCTTCTAACAAGGTTGAGACAGTACCCTGAGTGCCTAGAATGATCCAGGTATATAGTATTAGCTTGCGTGTAATTGGGAGGGGGTCCTTTTATTTTTTAAATTTTTTAAATGGAGGAGTACTGCTATTTATTCAGGAGGGGGTCCTTTTAGAATGCACTCCAAAAATGGAAAAAAAAATTCTCATTCCAAAGGAAATTCCATTACTAGAACTTTCAACAGTGAGATCTATAAAAGATTCAAAGATATCTGAATACCCTTTGAAATTATACCAATAAAGTCAAGGAAATGATGAACTTGAATGCACAGTTTCTGAGTACAACACTACTCTAATATGAAAATAAGTCAAGAAGAAAACCTAAAGATAAAATAAATCACCAGCATTGAACATAGACCTAAAAATTGTCAAAAATATCTATGCCAAAAAATGCAATACAGTACACTGTTAGGATCATATATCATGTACTTGTTAGCTGTTCAACATATGAAAAAAAAGATGAGATTCATACAACTACATTTCAATTGAGAGAATAAGAAAGTAAAAAATACTATATCACAGCAACAGAAAGATAAGATTCATAAAACTATACTTCAATTGAGAGAAAGAAAACAAATGATGAGATTCAATATTCTTTTATGAAAAAAAGTGCTTTAAAAAGCAGGATAGAAACGTTATTAGACAATGCCTGAACTTTGTTTGCATTGACACCATTGCAGTTGAGACCAGACTCAGGCTGCCATCGCTGGAACCACTCTGGGAAGGGAGGCAGAACCCTCCTTTCCGGCTAGGTCCCAATAGCCTCTACATCTGACCTGGGCTATATTAGCAGGCTCACACCCAGCTTCTGGAGCAAATGCCACCTATGCAACTGCACAAAAGACATACACAGCAAATCACACACTGCTCATAATTATAATTCAGGTCATTTAGTGATGAGAGGCAGAGAAGAGAGCAATCCCCAGCCTAATACCTCAGCACCTTCCAGGGTATCTATCTACAAAGACTCCCCCAGAACATTAGAAAACCAATGGTAAAGGCCTGCCCAGTTCACTGAGTGGAAATAATACCCTTGAAGGCACAAACAACAACAACCAGCTCTCTAAATCCTCAGTGACTTTTTGCCAGTGCCACCATGATAAAGATGTTTAATGAGCTCAAAGAATATGTGGCACAGGTATTCAGCAAAGCCCAAGGAAGTCTAAGAGTCAAGATGAGAAAACTCCTCCAATCAGAAATGGCAAAATGAAGAGCAGGGTAAGTTACATTAAAAGCAAAAAGCCATAACAGAAGCTGATAGCAGCCAAATTATGCAGCTGAGTATAAGATCAAGGAGCTTCAAGATGAGATGGAGGAAACTGCTACTAAACAATACTGTTGAGTGTTAAAAGGAAATAAACATTACACCAGGGCACTATAGGATGAATATGGTCACAGTCAAGGTCCTCCCGTTGTTCATTGTTTTGTTCGAGCGGGCCCAGTAACGTCTCCATAATGAGACTTGTTGTTACTGTGTTTGGCATATCAAATACATCACGGGTAGCTTGCCAGGCTCTGCCATGTGGGCGAGATACTCTTGGCAGCTTGCCGGGCTCTCCGAGAGGAGCGGAGGAATCGAACTCGAGTTGGTCATGTTGGCTGAGTGCAAGGCAAGCGCCCTACCGCTGTGGAAGAATATATGAATCATCATAGTTGCTAAAGAATAGAAAAGCAAATTTCATGAATAAACATTAGGTAAAGAAATCATTAATAGGAATTTCTTAGAGTTGAGGAATACAGGCACTGAAATCCAAGAGGCCTGAAGGTTCCCTGTGAAAATATACTCACTTAATCACTTAATCACTTAATTTCACGTTAGTCATCAATTTGCTCGAACGGGCGCCAGTAAGATCTCCATTTGTCCCTGTCGCGAGCTAGTGTAGCCCAATGGCATCTGTTCGCTCTGGGAACATGAAGAGCCTCAAACCGATCGTTCATGATCTTGATGAAGAAGTCTGACCATCTGGTAGGTGGGCGGCCACGCGGTCTTTTGACATCCCATGGAATCCAGTCAGTAACAGCTCTAGTCCAGCGGTCGTCTTTAAATCTCATTACGTGACCAGCCCATCTGATTTTTGACACCTTGGCAAACGAGACAGCGTCCCTGATCCTTGATCGTCGACGGATGTCAGAACTCCGGATTCTTTCTCTCATTTGAGTGAAACGTGATATTCCAAGCATAGCTCTTTCTATTCTTCTTTGGGACACCTGAATAGCGTTCTCATCTTGTTTGTGTAGGGCCCAGGTCTCTGAGGCATATGTTAATGCAGGAAGAACAGTGGAATCAAAGAGATGTGCCTGGAGCCAGAGGTTCTTCGTCCTCTTAGCTATTTCTTCGACGTTCTTGAAGGCATTCCAAGCCGCTCTCTTCCTCCTGCGCAGCTAGGGTTCCAGGTCATTTGTCATGTTGACTTCTCGACCTAGGTACACATAGCTGTTGCATTCAGAGATGGTCGTTCTGCTGAGAGCGAATAGAGCATCAGGAACGAGGCTGTTTCTCATGAACGTTGTCTTCGTAAGATTCAGCTGTAGTCCTGCCTTTCCACACTCATGGTCAAAGTCAGCCAGCATTTGTGCCACTTGGCTGATGTTTGGTGTTATTAAAACAATGTCATCAGCAAAGCGGAGGTGGTGTAGTTGCCGACCATCTATCTTCACTCCCATTCCTTCCCATTCCAGTCGTCGCATGATGTTCTCGAGGGTGGCACTGAAGAGTTTCGGTGAAATGGTATCACCCTGCTGCACTCCTCTCTTGACATCAACGATCACTTCTTTGTAGAATGGTGAGATCCTGGTAGTGAATCCACAATACAGCTCACGGAGGATCCTGATGTATTGGGCTTGATGCCCTGATTGGCTAGGGCTTCAATGACCGCTTCCATCTCAACAGAATCAAAGGCCTTCTTTAAATCAATGAACGTTAAACAGAGTAGCATCTTGAACTCCCGAGAAACCTCAATGAGCTTGGTTATCATGTGGCTATGGTCGATGGTGCTGAATCCTTTGCGGAACCCGGTTTGCTCGCATGGTTGTCCTTCACCTAGTGTTCTGCCAATCCTATTTAGGATGACTCAAGTGAACAACTTGTACATGACAGTCAATAGGCAGATCGTGTGATAGTTGCCAATGTCATGGATGTCTCCCTTCTTGAACAGTAGTACGGTTCTGCTGGTTTTCAATTGGGATGGAACCTTGCATTCAGACAGGTAGCGAGTGAAGAGCCGAGCCAGTGTGTTGATGAGTACTGACGGCAGGTTTTTCAGGTGTTCAGGTCTGACCTTGTCTGGGCCGGGTGCTGTTTGTTTCTTTACCGACGAAATTGTGTGTCGGATTTCGGAAGGGAGAACGTTGGGAACGACATATCCATCCTGTGGAATTTGGTATGTTGGCAAGTGGACATGGCTATCGAAGAGATTTGAGTAGAAGTCATGGACTACCTCCACTACCCAGCTGTCGCCACACTCCAGGACGCTTTCCGGACCTGTGCGGACGCTTCGCTTATGACACATCATAAGACACTATATGCCCATCTTCCGGAATTGTCGCACCATATTTGATAGGGTTCAAATATGGTAACACCAACAAGGGTGATTAGAGGTCGCCCAAACGCCTCTATCCCTCTCAGAAAGAATGGCAAGCTAACAAGAGTATTCCGCCCACACGGAAGAGCCTGGCAAGCTATTTGTTGTGTATTCGATATGCCAAAACCAGTAACTACAACTGGTCTCATTCACCAGACCCTGAAGGCTTCATGGCAGCACTGAGAAGGATGAGAAAGGAGAGGCCGACAAAATCTCAAGGCCAACCTAGGCTGCCACAACGAAAGAAGACAAAAATGATCGTCTGTACTTTCAATGCATGTACGCTAGCATCAGATGCATCCATTGAGGACCTGATGGTACAAGCGCGAATGATCAAGTACGACATCATTGGTCTGACCGAGACAAGAAGGCACGAATCTCACCGTGCTGTTTTCGATACTGGAGAAGAATTGTTCCTCAGAACATGCGATAAAAGAGGTGTCGGAGGCGTCGGTGTCCTTGTCAACACAAACTTGGCCAAGAGCATTGATTCATTCGAATGCCTAACAACCTGAATCAGACGTTTACATTTGAATAGATGTGGCTCACTGCCTGCAGTTTCTATCTTCGTTGTCTACGCACCAACATCCAATTATGATGAAGGAGAAATTGAGAAGTTCTACATGGAGCTGGAGAAGTTCTATAAAGAAGACCACACCTTCTACAAGATCATTGCGGGTGATTTTAATGCCAAGATAGGACCGAGAAGATCAGCTGAAGAACTTCACATTGGGACCCATGGCCTAGAATGGAATGAACAGGGTGAGAGACCGTCTGAGTTCATCATGTCAACCAAGACCATCCATGGTAACTCACAGTTCCAGAAGGCAGAATCTAAATGATGGACATGGGAGTCTCCCGGTGGACGATTCCACAACGAAATAGACTACATCATATTCAATCAACGGTTTTACCTGACCGATGTCGGTGTTGTGCCAAAATTCTGAACGGGATCAGACCACCGTCTCCTTCGTGCAAAATTCTACTTCACAGAGCGGGGAGAAAGGGCTGCAAAGTTCAAAAAGAGAACTCCCAGAACGACCACCAACTGGGAACTCTTTGTTCCTATTGCGGCAACATGGGAAGATGTCATTGTTGACAACATTGACGAGGAATACGATCAACTGGTTCAGCACCTCAATGAATGTGCGAGGAACACCAAGAGAGAGATAGCCACAAAAAATCACCAATCTTCGAAAACTCTTGAGCTAATTCGCCAGCGTGGTTTGGCGCATGCCTCAGGCAACCGCAAGCTAACGTCCGAGCTTGCAAAGCAGTGCAGAGATGCGATCAAGGAAGACCTCAAAGATAGAAGAGCAGAAGTACTGGTAGATGCGGCATAAGCCGGGAAAAGTATTCGTAATGCCCTCCTGTCCTTTGCCAAGTACAAGACCAAGATGACTGCCCTCCGACCTCCTGATGGATCCATCACATCCTCCAGAATGGCAATGGGTAAGAAAATATTCTCAACAAGGAAAACTAGATCCTCAAAATGATAAAATCCACAATTAGAGACAGAATATTGAAATCAACAAGATCAAAAAAGCAACTTACGTAGAATCGAAAGCCATTAAGACTTACAACCGATGTTTGAAACGTGACTATGAGACAGAAGAGAATGGAGGGACATAGTACAAAACCTCAGTGAAATGAATACTTACCCAAGATTTCTTTATCCACTTAGATTATCACACATATTTGAACGAACTATAAGAGCTTCATGGATAGACAACAACTTAGGGAATTTATAGCTTTGAAACCAGTATTATGAGAAGCTTTAAAAAAACTTCTTTTGCACCTGAAGGAATTAGGGCTGGTAGGGTGCGCCTCCCCTACACAGCTGCTCTGAATTTGATTTCTGGTATCCTGTAAGGTTCTCTGAGAACCATCAAGAGTAATTCTGAATGTAAAAGCCAGGAGTAACCCAGCATTACCAGGTGTGGCCACAAAATCAAATACTTTAAAAAGATGGAAACAAGGAATAAACATAATAAAAGAGGTCAAGGACCTGTGTAAGGTCTATTAATACATTGATCTAAGAAATAAGAGGAGGTAAAAATATAAAGATGTTCCTATATATCTATAGGAAAAATTAACATTGTTAAACTGGCCACCTTACTCAAAGTAATTCAAAGATTCTATACAATACCTATAAAAGTTATAGTAGCTGTGTCAAAGTCACCAAAAAAATTAACTAAAATCTGTAAGAATCACAAAATACCCTAAATAGCCAAAGGAGTTCTGAGGAAAGATACATAGGAAATACTTGTTCCCAACTAAAACAATATTATAAGGCTAAGATCATTAAGATTACACAATATTAGAAAATATATGCACAGACATATACACTCATATAAATGGAATAAAACCAAGAACCCAGAAATAAAGCCATACAATATGGTCAATTGTGATAAACAATAATACTGGCATATATAATGGAGAGAGGAAAGTCTCTTCAACAAATAGTGCTGGGGAAATTAGATATCCATTTACAAAACCCAGAAATGACTGCTCCTCACACCATATACAAAAATTACCTGAAAATTTACTAAAAACTTAAAGCCATAAAACACAAAGAGGAAAGTACATAAAAATATTCAAACACGGCTTCAACATTAACTTTGAAGAGTTGATTTCAATAACTAGGGAAACAAAAACAAGCAAAAATTACTTGAGAGTATGTGGAATCAAAAAGAAACTTCTCCAAGGTAAAGAAAATGTCAGTGAAACAAAAACATACAAGGAGAAACTATCATACCTCCATATCTAACAAGATGTTAATAAGCAAGATTTGTAAAAAAAATCATAAAGTACTCCAAGTACCATTGCCAAGAAGAACATTGAAAAGGACAGAAGTGAAGGCAGATTACTTCCTTTTGCTACTGTTGCAGACACCACTTATAAGTGTTCAGAGCATTCTCCTGGTTCACACTTCTGGTGGTGCTTGGGGAACCATGTGACATATCTGGGATTTGAACTGGAGTAAGGAAAAATGATACCTTCCTTTCTGTACTATCTCTCTGACCCTAAAATACAGATTACTCTACAAAAGACATACAGATTGCTAACAGGCACCAAAAAATGCCTTGAGGAGTTAGATGGTGGAGTTGATCAGTGGATAGAGGCAGATGGAGTTCAGCATTTTTTAGTGTGGATGTTGTGACAAGTCACTTTTGCAGCAAGTGAGAGAGCACATCTGAAGCATATACTACAGTGAAAATAATTTCTGTCAAATAAATAAAACAGATTCCAGAGCAACTGCAGATGAGGCTATTCGGAGGCTTTCTGGACCCCACACTCACCCTGTAAACTTGGCATGCAACTTCAACAGGAGCAGTGCCGTGTCCTTTGTGCTGTGGTGACCGCTCACAGCACCAGCAGATGAGCTGACCATCATTTTCACAGAACAGATGGAACTGCTCTCCGTGTTCATTACACATATTCTGATTCATTTCCTTAAAGATTTCGATAATACCTTTCAGCTGCTTGTTGGGCCGGAGACTACCACTTTGAAAAGGTTTCCGACACTTGGGACAATTAAATGTTCCCGGAGATGATGTTTCAGAGCTTTGATTCTGAGTAAGAACCTTTATGCATACACAGCAGTAGCTGTGCCCACAGTCAATGCTCACAGGCTCAGTCATCAGCTTCAGGCAGATGGGGCAGGTAGCTTCCACCCTCAACTTCTTGATAAATGTAGCTGAGGCCATGGTTTTCCTGGAAATGCTGCAATATTGGATCAAGAGGCAGGGATGAAGCAGTCAGAAATTTCTAGTGTCTGAGAAATGCACTCCACTAGAGTTTATGGGACTCCTCTGAGCTTGAAATCTGTCTGAGAGAGATATGGATTGGGATTGAGAAGATTTATTTTATGGAGCTGTGTTGTGAATGACTGTGGCACAATCACACTTGGTCCATTAAACTTAGTATAATTAAGCACTGTAGCACTGCTGTCTTGTTGTTCATTGATTTGCTCAAGCAGGCACCAGTAACATCTCCATTTTGAGACTTGTTACTGTTTTTAGCATATCAACTATGCCATGGGGAACTTGCTAGGCTCTGCCGTGCAGGCAGGATACTCTCCATAGCTTGCTGCGCTCTCCGAGAGGGACGGAGGAATCGAACTTGGGTCAGCTGTGTGCAAGGCAAACACCCTACCTGCTGTGCTATCACTATAGCCCTGAGTATAATTAAAATAAAATAAAATAAAATTTAATGTTAATTCCTTGAATCTAACTGCTATTATTGCATTTCAGTTGTTTATTATTTGCTTGAGTCTGTGGTGAAATGAGACCAGATCAAAGATTCCATTTCATTTCTAGAAATATTTTGGACATGGGACTCAGTGAGAGTGAGAAAAAGACAGGTTCCCTCAGAAAGGATGGAGCAAGAAAGAGAAACTCATGGAATGAGGGTGAGACTCCCATTCTGTGAAAAGGTAGCTCATCACTACTACTTTATTTCCTTGTAACTGATATTGCAATTAGGTAGAGTTTATAGGATTCATAAAAAAAATTGTCTGCACTGGATCATTAGTTCACAGTTCTTGCTACTTACTTCCACGGCAAATAATGATAAAAAAGTATGGGTAAAAAGACCCAGGCTCCAAATGATAACAAGGTCAACTGACACCCTAAAGAAGCTGTGTGCCCTTCCCATAAGCCTCTCTGACCTGAAGACAGAGAATTGAAAGAGGTGGGAGGAGAAGGGGTTATCTTCAGAGCAGAGTTCTTGAGAAACAGAGAGGTGACTGTCACTTCTTCAGGACAACCTGGTCTCCCGGAAGATCAGAATGACTAGAGCCCATCGTCATGGAAGAAACCTGGAAGTCAGCAGTGAGAACAGATAGGAATGACAGGCTTCTGTGGATCCTGGCATTATGTCCCTTGGTGTCCACCAGTGAGTACCTAACATGGAAACACAGGGACCAATAGGAAACACAGGACTTTGTCCTTCATCCATATAGATAGTTACAATTTTGGGAGGATCTTTTCTCTATTTTCAATGTTGACTGTTTGTGGGGAGGAAATAGAGGCAGGATGAGGTACGAAACAAATGCTTTTTTGACCTGACAGTAATATCTCAATCACTAATGGTGCTTTTTAAACTAAAGTTGCATGTTAAAGCATCTTTGTCTAACTATAAGAACTATCTCTTTAGACTCATAGAGAATATCTTCTGGAGTGAAGATAACTTAGCCTAACTCACATGCCAACCCTGCAAGTTTTTTTTTAAATGACTAAGACTGTGTCTGTTGTCCTGAACAAGTTTTAGTGGAATTGTTTTTGAGAATAAAAGCATTCTAAGTAATGCATAAAAGAAAAATCTGGGGATGGGAGAGATAGGATAGTTGGTACTGTTTTTCTCTGTGAGAAGGTTTAACCCAAATATAATTTAAAGAATGAGGAGATTTGGTCAAAGGGATGTTCCATTTATTACAATACCATCCAGCCATTCTATTTCTTTTGTAAATGATCTAAGGAGGAGGCAGAGATACCTTATAGACTAATATTTTTCACCCTCCAATACACTAATAGTCTCAGAATTCTTGCCTCTTCCATAAACCAACTAGAGATTGAGGGAAAAAGTACCAGAAGAGTCAGAAACTTACTGTCTCCAAATTAGAGCAATTTCCTCTCATTATTATTACCAGGATAAGCAAAGATGACAGAAAGGGGTCACAAGAGAGACAAAAGATCAAAGTAAAGAAGACTAAAGGTACTCCCAGCTTCTGACCACTCTTAAGCCTGGCCAGCTCCACAGGAGTGCCCGGAAGTCCTCTCCACCCAAAACTTTCTGCTTTCATTGTGGCAAACTTGATTGCTGGAAGTGAGAGTGTCCTGAATGCCCCAAGAAGCCTTGGATCTCACAAAGGAGAGTGACAAGATGGGCAACTGGACAAGGGACCATACTGACACCAAAGGGGACTGTCCAGACCCTTCCACCTTGCTCTTGACCAAGACAGCTGCAAGCTCCCACCCTTCCATTCCAACTGAAGCTATGGGAGTCTTATCATCTTGGTCTCCATGACGGCAAGCCAGACCAAGACACAGAGCTGATTCTTTAGCCTTACTGTCCTTCCAGAACCCCTTTTTCTCATCTCTCACTCTAATGGAGAATATAAGGCTTCGTGTAGAGGAGAGAAACCCTGAACCCATGTAGAGGACTATGCACACTCTGATGAAGGGCAGGGTATCTTTTTATTCTGGCCATCGTTTCTTTTGAGGTACAGAAGTTCTGAGTTTGACGTAATCGCATTTGTTTATCTTTGCTTCTGTTTACTTTGCCGTTGGCATTGGATTCTTAAAGTGAAGTCTAGTTTCAAAGTAGTACACAGTTTTACCTATTTTTCTCAATATAACTTATGAATATGGGTCAGAGATAGAGGTCTTTAATCAGTTTTGTTTTGAATTTTGTGCATGGTGTTAGGAAAGTGTATACTTATTTTTATTTTTATTGTTATTATTTTGACTGTAATTGACTAGTTTTTCCATCACCACTTGTTGAAGAGGTGTTCCTTACTCCACTTCTTGTTTTTCTTTATTTATTGAAGATTAATTTTCCATATGTCTGATGATCTCTCTCTGGATTCTAATTTCTATTCAATTGATCTGAGACTAGAGTCTGTTATTATTCCAGCACCACACTTTTAACTAATAAAGCTTAATAGAAATGGATGAAATTGCGGAAAGCGAAGCACTCTATTTTTTTTCCCCCTAGGATTTCTTTGGCTATTTGATGAGGAATTTTTGAGCCACAATGTGGCATTTTCTAGTTATAATATTGCTTCTCCTTAACCTCATTTGATCAGGTCCTGTCATCAGTTAAGTCAAACAAGATAAAAAAGATTTTTTACATGAAAATGTACTTTTCAAAATATGAATTCTAATAAAAAATGTGAAAAGTCCTGTTAACAAAAGCTATTAGGAATACTTGAAATTGTTTCATTATAGAAGTTAATAGCACAGAGTGAATACATCAATTTCTTTTTGTTGTTGTTGTTGTTTTGTACTGAAGGAACATCCTATTTCAGTTTTACCTTGATCTCCCCACTGGAAGCCTCTCATTGTAGATCAATTGCGACTCTTCCTTTCCCCTTCACTGGGCAGTCCTGGGGGAGGACTCACCGGTTTGGTCACTGGCTGCACTTACTCTCTCACCGGGGCTGCAGATCAGATTAGTGACCGCATGTCGGTGGTTGGAAGAGTCAAGTCCTTTTGATGTTCTTTATGTAGAGGACAGAGATGGTCATCTGAGCTCCCCCAGAATGAACCAGTCAGCAAGGCAAGCAGAGGGATAGTGAGTCCTTTCAGGTTACCCTTCCTGACCTGAGGGAACAAGAATTCAAAGAGCAGCCAGGAGAACGGGTGGTCTGGCTGCGAGCAGAGCTCCTGAAGGTGACTCAGTGTCCTCCAGAGGTTCAGGGTGACCAGAAGAGAGAATGTTGGCAGCTCCAGGATGTAGTGAGGTGTGGAGCAATGGGAATGGCCTAGTCTGTGGTTACTTACACTGGCTGCTGGTCCCCCAGAGTCCACAAGGGAGGACCTCACAGGGGAGCTGGGTCAGGAGCTCAACTATGTCCCACTCCCAAGGCTGCAGCTGCTTTTGGATCTGGGCATGTGCCCCAATCCCACTGTGGAGAGTTGGAGGGGAGGGGAGTAAAGGAAGGATAAAGCATAATAACAAAATTTACCTCCAACACACAGTACTAAGATGAAAAGCAGGATTCAACTGAAGTTACTAGAAAGCCAGTTTCTCTCTAATCATAGGGCTCTTCCCTTGGAGACAGGAGAGTCTCCTGTAGAAACTTTCATCAAAGGCCTATGACTTACCTCTGAGGGATGCTATCCTCTGGGGAGAAAACTCTCCTGTCCTCTGAGCCCTGAGGGGTGACTATGGGGCCTTCATGGGCCTCATATCCCTGGTAGGAAAAATGGAGTCACCTGAAAGTGAAAGCAAAAGGTGAAGAGAACAAGAAAGCAAAGTTCAACCCTGACCCACCACACACACACACACACACACACACACACACACACACACACACACACAGAGAGAGAGAGAAAAATGCAGCCTGGACTGTCAGTCCCTTCTCCACACAGCAGTCAGCACAAGCTACTGCCCTGATGTCTCCTCTGTAGCTGAGATTCACTCAGGTCTGGCAAGGAAGTTCACTCCCACTGGATTAAAAGCAGAAACGAAACCAGTGGGGGGTGGGGGGTGGAGGGGCGGAGCCATGTATGTGGTGGGGGCGGAGCCATGTAGGGTAGGGGCAGGAAATGAAAGAAAGATGTTGCCAGTGTGTTTCCTACTGAGCTAGCCCTCAAGTTAGGGGACAGGTACTTGAAGACCCTCTTGAGCAGTAAGAGGGAGGACAAGTCATAACCTGGAAACTGTTCTGTGTCCTCAGTATGAATCTAAACAGGAACCACAGCTCAGCTCCCAGACTCTGACTTCAGATCTTGGCACTTTTGCCACAAAGGCCCAGGGGAATCCAGGAGTTTTCCTGGCCGGCTTGTCTTTGCTCTTCTTGGTCCCTGATTGTTTGAAGCAGCCCAGGAGGACGTGTGGAAGCGAGCATGGCCAGGACAGGGCTCTGGGCATCAGGCACAGGCCCACCCCAGCCCCTTCCCCTCTCTCTGCTCTCTCTGCTTCCTCCTCACTTTCCCTCTGCAGGACTCAGTGCTCAGGACAGCACGGGAACGACTGATGGCCAGAGGGAGAGTTGTCAGCTGGGATCCACCACTCTGTGCCATGGGGAAAGTCTGTGGGTCCACTGTGGAGCCTGTAGTGGCTCAGCTACAGTGGGGGGCACTCCCCAAAGTACTCTCTGATGAGTCTGGTGGTGCTCAGAGGAACTATATGTAGAGCCAGGGATTGGATTGACATCAGCTATATACGGAGTCAGAGCCTTAATTCCTGTATTCTCTCACTTAGGTCTTTATTCTTTATTTTTAAAAAGTCTTCATAGTGTTTCTCTTGTGCCTGAGCCAGAGAACATGTTTTTTTGCTTTTTATACAAATATATATATATATATATATTTTTGAGCCAGAGAACATTTTCACCGATAGTGAATGTGGATTCCTCTGGCACTACAACCTGCCAGCAGTATCCTCCCTCCAAACTTTTTTGATATGTGACACTCTCACTAGTGAGAGATGATATTGTAATATTGTTTTGATTTGCATTTGATAAAAGATGACAAAGAACACTTTTTTCTAAGTGTGTTGGCTGACCACATGTCCTCTTGAGGGGAATGTCTATTAATCATCTTTCCCGGTTTTTTTTATAATTATATATTTTTTTTATTAGTGAAACACCATGAGGTACAGTTATAGACTTACAAATTTTTGTGCTTGGGTTTCAGTTATACAGTGATCAAGTACCAATCCCTCCACCAGCGCCCATCCTCCACCACCATGGGTCCCAGCGTCCCTCCCACCGCCCAACCCCCCATCCCACCCTGCCTCTGGGGCAGGGCATTCCATTTTGTTCTCTCTCTCTCCCTTTGGGTCCTGTGGTTTGCAAGAGAAGCATTGAGTGGCAATCATGTTTGGTCTATAGTCTACTTTCTGCATCCTTCTCCCATCTTGGGAGGATCCTCCCAACACCCTTTATTTGGTGTTCCCTTCTCATTCTGAGCTTCCTTTTCCCCTAGCACATGTGGTTGGCCTCCAAGTCACGGAGAAAAATTTCTGGTACTAATCTCGGCCACTCCTGGGTGTTAGTCTCCCATTTTGTTACTTTATGTTCCCCAGATGAATGCGATCTTTCTGTGTATATCCCATTTTTTCTGACTCATTTTGCTTAACATGATACTTTCCATGTAGTACCACTTGTATGTAAATTTCATGACTTCATGTTTTCTAACAGCTACATAGTACTCTATTGTGTAAATGTACCAGAGTTTCTTTAACCAGTCATCTGTTCTTGGGCTCTCAGGATTTTTCCAGATTCTGGCTATTGTAAAGAGTGCTGCAATGAACAAACAAGTGCAGATGTCACTTCAACTATACTTTTTTGCCTCTCTGGGATATATTCCCAGGAGTGGTATTGTTGGGTCAAATGGGAGATCAAATTCTAAGTTTTGAGAGTCGTCGATGATTTATTGTCATTGTTATAGAGCTTTGTGAGTTCTTTATTTATTTGGCTCTGCACTCAGGGATCCCTTCTGGTTTGCTCAGAGCATGATATGTATGGGTGCCAGAGATCAAACCAGTGTTGGAGACCACAGCGATAGTACATTGGTTAGAGTGCTCGCCTTGCAAATGATAAACCCAGGTTATTTTCTAGCCCACCAGATGGTTCCCTGATCATCAGCAGGGTGTTCATCTTGAAAAATAAAAAATCAAACCCTTGGATTGACTCCATACGAAGCATAGGTTTGCATGGCGTTTTTTTTTTTAAATTCTACCATTCAATGCCTTATATGTCTTTGATATTAACCCCTTATCAGATGAGTGTTGAGTATATATTTTTTTCCCATTCCATAGGCCATCTTTGTATCCTGGTCATAGTTTTCTTTGAGGTGCAGAAGCTTCTTAGTTGAATGTAGTCCCATTTGTTTATCTTCACTTCCATTTGCTTGGTCAGTGGTGTTTCAACCTTATGGGTGCCTTTAGTTTCAATGTCATTGAGAATTATGCCTAAATTTCATGTATGTACCTAATGGATTTGGGTCTGGTATTGAGGTTTTAATCCCTTTTGATTTGACTTTTGCACATGGCACCAGTAAAAGTTTGAGTTCCACTCGGGATGCAAAATGCGTGCTGAAAGTAGACTATAGAACCAAACACGATGGCCACTCAAAACCTCTATTGCAAACTACAACACCCTAAAGGAAAGAGTGAGAAAAGGGGAATGCCGTGCCACAGTGGCAGGGTGGGGTGGCGGCGATGTGGTGTGGGGGTAGGAGGGATACTGGGATCTTTAGTGGTGGAGAATGGGCACTGGTGGAGGGGTAGGTACTCGATGATTGTACGACTGAAACCCAAGCATGAAAGTCTGTAAATCTACAACTGTACCTCATGGTGTTTCACTAATTAAAAAAAGTTTGAGTTCAAATTTTTTACATGTAATTGTCCAGTTTTTCGAGCACCACTTGTTGAAGAGACTTTCCTTATTCCATTTCATATTTCTTGCTCCCTTATCAAAGATCAAATGATCATAATTTTGAGGCACTGTGTCAGGATATTCCACTTAATTCCACTGATATGAGGGTCTGTCTTTATTAATTATCACTGCTCTCTAGTTCTGTTTAATTACTGCAGCTTTCTAGTACAGTTTGAAGTCACCCATCTACTTTTTCCAAGGATTTCTTTAGCTACTTATGGGGACTTATTGTTCCATATGAAATTCAGGAGTTTTTTATTTGAAAAATGCTGTGGGTATTCTAATGGGGACTGCCTTGAATCTGTATGATGTTTTTGGGAGAATATTGTTATATTGGTGTTGCTAATCCTCCCAATCAATAAGCATGGGCTGTGTCTTCATTTCTTCATGTCGTCTTTTATTTCTTTTTTTTTTCTTTTTTCTTTATTTATTTATTGAATCACCGTGGGAAAGGTTACAAAGCTTTCTGGTTTAGGTCTCAGTCATGCAAATATTAAACACATTTCCGTTTACCAATACTTATTTTTTACCATGAAGAAGCCAATAAAACCCCACCCCCCACCCCTCCCAGTCCCTGTGGGGCAGATGAATTCTAGTTAACACTCTATCTGCTTTGATTAGATTCATTGTTTCAATAAAAGATTCACCACTATCATTTAGAGTTTAGCCCCCCCCCCCCATCAGACATGCTGAAAAAGCATTGTGAAGTGATTTGCTTTCTACAGCTGGGTTCAAGAATTAAATGTTGGTTTTGGATTTTTGCTATTTTACTTATTGACCCTTGAAGTATTTCTACTGAAAGTCAGATAGTTAAGAAATTGGTTTCTGTGCTCTGGAGTCGTGGCCGTACTGGAGAGCCGCTAGTGGGGGGCAACTGGTGGCCTCGGTAGGGCGTGAAGGGCGGACCGAAACACCCCCCTTCCCATGAGGTTTTAGTCACCCCCACTCCCCCGGCTCATACCTGCTGTCCACAAGGCTCCCATGCGGCCGCCATCTTTCTTTCCAGAGAAGAGAGGGCGACTGGGGCAACACCCTTTCCCCTCCGGACAGACCTGATGGCCTGGATTAATGCATAGTCCGTTCACTTTTCTGCTCCAAGCTGCCGGGTTCTGCATTAAGTCCTTGTGCTTCTGGGGCCGTGGCCGTGCTGGAGAGCCGCTCGTGGGGGGCAACTGGTGACCTCGGTAGGGCGTGAAGGACGGACCGGAACGCCCTCCTTCCCATGAGGTTTTAGTCGCCCCCACACCCCCGGCTCATACCTGCTGTCCACAAGGCTCCCATGTGGCCGCCATCTTTCTTTCCAGAGGGAGGAGGGCGAATGGGGCAACACCCTTTCCCCTCCGGGCAGACCTGATGGCCTGGATTAACGCATAGTCCTTTCACTTTTCTGCTCCAAGCTGCTGGGTTCTGCATTAAGTCCTTGTGCTTCTGGGGCTGTGGCCGTGCTGGAGAGCCGCTCGTGGGGGCAACTGGTGGCCTCGGTAGGGCGTGAAGGACGGACCAGAACGCCCACCTTCCCATGAGGTTTTAGTCGCCCCCACACCCCCGGCTCATACCTGCTGTCCACAAAGCCCTCATGCGGCCGCCATCCTTCTTTCCAGAGAAGAGAGGGCGAATGGGGCATCACCCTTTCCCCTCCGGACAGACATGATGACCTGGATTAACGCATAGCCCGTTCACTTTTCTGCTCCAAGCTGCTGGGTTATGCATTAAGTCCTTGTGTTTCTGGGGCTGTGGCCGTGCTCTAAACTTAACTCTGATTTTCAGGGAGAAAGGTTGGGTGGTTTACTTCCCATTGATCACTTTGTATATAGAGAGATGCCGCGCGGCCATGCGGTTTTGAGGAAAAGTCCTAGTTCCCGCATACCCGAGCTGTGCTTGTAGAGGCTTCTGGT